GAAATTGGCTCCAAAATTAATGAACTGCTACCACAATAAAGTTACAGGCAGATCAATTTTTCTACTCATAAGTTATAACAATATCAGTTCTAAACAATAAACTACATTTAATATTATTTTACCATTCAAAAAGTATTATATTTCAGATTTTTTTAAGAGAAAAAAAATTTAAATAGCTACCTTTGGTGTAATGAATTTCGAGAAGGGATTACCTTTTTCAACACGCCAACATAACAAAAAAAAATTAAATAATTATACATATTAATTATTATTATTAAATATTAATACTGTATATTAATTTATAGAGATTGCATTTCTTTGCAATTACATAGTATTTAAAAAGTAAATATAATTCAAAATCTATTAATTAAAACATACGTCATTTCATAACAACCATTAATATACTGATTTTTTTTTAAATGTTTCAAATCAATATTATAATTTTACGTTTTAGATTTAAATAATCATAATTCTAAAATTATTTTAGTTGTTAAGTATTTTTAGGGAATCGAAATCAGGAAACATTACTCGTGAGTCAGAACTTAACTCAGTTTGCGAAGCTGGTTATTGAATTAAGGCACTTCCATCAAAACAACAAAACGTTTATCAGAAATATTTATATGCAAAAATTTTTCTTTCGAATAAAAAAAGTATTTCTTTTCTAAGCCTATAAAATATTTAGTTACTAGTTATTTTAAATTAATAATTTAGTGATAATTATTGAAACATTAAAATTAAATTTTGACAATTATTTCTAATATTATTATTATATCTATCTAAATACCAATATTTACTCAATTTTAAATTACAAAACAGTTTATCATAATATATATTTACACCAAATTGATTGAGCTAAAGAATTGTTATAAGCATTTTATTTATTTTGGACATATCAACGATATCTAATTTTACAGTATTAAACACGAAAGAATGCATATTTAAATGAGATAATACTTATTATATTTCGTACGATTTAGTATTTTTACTTTCACTTGTTCATGGGCGTATCAAGACAATAGAGGGGGTTCTAAACGGTTAAAAGTTTCAGAGCGTTTCTTTATTAACAAAAAGGGAAGACTGAAGAAAATCATGAAATATACGTTTTACACGTTTCATATAACATAATTTTCATATTTTTTTTTCTTACAAATTCATTCATAATTTTAATAGTGCCAATTTAATTCCAAATGTTTTGTTCTATATAAAGAATACACAGTAGGCATATTATTTTGCCTTTTCCCTCCCAAAATTACTTCAGCAATTTTTTACACGCTTTAAAACATAAAATAATCCTTCTTCTGAAGCACATAGAAAGGGGAAGAGTAAAAAAATCAATACTGTTTCTACACATGGAATGTGCAAGATATTTAATATACATATTTATATTATATTTAAATATTTAATATATATTTTTATATAAACGCAGAACTTAAAACTTTAGACTCAACCTTTCATAGCAAGTTCGAATATTGTACTTCCTCCTCAGTATATAGTCAAAACACCAACCCGAAGCACTTAGTAACAATTATTAAAGTAATTCCTTATAAAAGAATTTGATTTTATCTCCTAATGAATTACTAATAATATCTAAAATATCTGAGAAACCACCGCAGAAGTTTCTTTGCAATTTACAATAAGGTACTCAATTATACATATTTCGGTATTTATTTGAACAGCCTATTTGAAAAAAGAAAAATCGTATGAAACTGAAATTACATATTTAAGGTAGGTATAATAAATGGAAGTGGCACTTTTTATCATCGATTTTTCGCGTTTTTAAATTATCTTTCGAAAACATCTACGCATATTTTGATTTAGCTCATTATATCAATGTACAATTGAATGATCTTTAATTATCGTCCTCATTGAAATAATCTAAAGGCTTATGTCAAATTTCTATATCTTTCTATAACGTACCATGTATTTAGTTTATTTGAAACAATTAAAAAACTTCTCATTGTTCGTAATTAATAAGGAATGAATAATTATAAACTACGAAAGAATTTGATAGATAACAGAAGGAGAAATGTAAATAGTATATAGTATATAGTAATCGTAAGAAGTAATTGAAACTGATGAAAAATCTAACGACCAATAATTTCTACTTTTACATATACTACTTAACGAAAACTAAATGTTTTTATAATAACTAAATGAAAAATTTAAAGAAACTAACTGTAAGATTTTCATATTTATTTTATGCTTGAAACCAAAAACATATAGTCAACAGAATTGTTATACAGTAACTAAAAAAAAAATTAAAAAAAAAAAAATATATTGTACTATTATGAGTAGAGCCGAAATCAGGAAGAGACAAAGAGGTAATTCGCCCCAAGTTGCATAATTTAGAGGACGTCAAACTTCGTGGCCATTTTTTTTTACCATAAGTAAAAAATATTTCTATCTATATTTTGGATATTTTGATCTTAATTCAGTCAACTCAAGTTTACATATGATAATATTTATTTCGAAATGCAGTACATAAAATATAGACAGAATATGTTGAAGTTTATTCTATGTACTCTTAAGATAGATGGGATTATTGAGATAGTGCAATTTAAAAAAAAAATTATATTTTTTCATTATTTTCCTAAAAAGTTTTCCTCATTCCTAATTATAGATCACTGAAAATATAAAATATATATGAAAAGCTTTCAATGAGAGCTTTATCACATTGCAATTTGAAAAAAACATTTTCCTAAGTGCGGAAGAAAAGATAAGATTACAAAGGTCTAATGTACCACATTGTTATTTTTGTAACCACAAACATACTTATACATATGTCAATATAACAGTGAAGAATTCGATATATAAATAAATCATTCGAATAGAATTGACCTTATATTTTCTCATCAAGGGTGATAAATATTCAGGACGCAGTCATTATGAAGTTTTTATTAGTGCCGACGTTTCAACCCAAACATGTGGGTCATCATCAGGGCGTGTTTCGAGCACTGATGATGACCCACATGTTTGGGTTGAAACTTCGGCACTAATAAAAACTTTATAATGACTGCGTCCTGAATATTTATCACCCATCACTAGCGGATCCAGGATTTATTTTGGGGGGGCTTTAGCCCGAAAGCTTTTTATTAAAAAAATAACGATAATTACTTTAGGAAAAAGAAAGAAACTAACTACATAAATGAAATGGCGTTTAAGTGATTCCTAAAGTCATTTTAAATGTGATTACACGAACAATAATAGTTTAAGAGATAATTTTAAAATATTTTTTTCTATTACACATGGTTATATTTTACCATTTTGGGGGGCTTCAGCCCCCCCCCTTAGATCCGCCCGAGTCACCTATGGTATGTAGAACATTCGACTAACTTCTTCCAGTATTTTATCATCGATTATTCGTTTATTTATACACAGATAGAAACAGACTACACTACACGCATTTTTCATGACACGATAAGATCGTCGTACGATGGTGTTCGGAAAATACCTTCTTACTTCGTATACGTTATTCTTCTTAACCTGTAACACTAATGTGTGTGCTTTAGACCATCAAGCAGTGAAAACATCAATAAGATGAGATTAATAATATGAAATATAAATTATAAATAATAGCTCATTACAAAAAAAAAGATTAAATGCTGAACAATTCCCTCGCTTCCAGTATACAGATCCGATTTTTAGTATCTGAAATATTTTAATCCATATGTTCAACTAACCTCTTTAGGATTTGGTTTTCGATACGCATTAAGACGGCTATTTTGAATTATAGCCAATTTACTAATTTATGCAAATTGAGTTTTCTCTCAGAAGTCACTTACAACAAAGTTATATATGTTATAAATGACTTATTAGTGCCAGAGAGTTAAACATGAAATTATATTATTTAAATTATTAGTGAAGTTCTGTTCTTTATGTGTAACATATTAGAATCGGTTATTTATATGTAGCATATTGTACTCGGTTATTTTTGTGTAACATATTGGAATCGGTTATTTCGAAAACTACAACAACCACACTGCAAAAGCCTGTAAGGACAATTTCTATGGAAAATGAGGTTTAGAGCTTTTCTTGCCAATTTTGTCCTGGTGCATATCCTGATTCCAGAACAGAGAATTCTCAGACAGAGAATTGATTTCATTAATTGGAAAATTTAACATGAAACGAAAAAAGAACAACTCTAGTTTCATCTTTTCAAACCAATGAATTATCGAAATCACAAGCTCAGAAACGAAGGGATCTACATATCAGCGGGTTACCTAGGCCTTACCAAGCATTCGTGAATTAAACCATGTCCATATGAAGTTGAGTACGTTTAAAACGAATCTTTCATAGATTACTCCAAAATGGAGCCCATGCACACCATTCGAGCAGCCCCTACGTTGGGAAACAAAGAAGTGAAGAACCTGTGTGATTAAGTGCTCGCTCGGAAAATTTTTCTCATCAGGCCTGGGGGCCTAAATAAGAAAAATTTTCTTTTCGTTGGTCAGTTCATAAGGATAAACCTTAATTTCAAGTAAGTAACCTTTTTTGCCATTTTTGGACTAGTGATGGCGATCATAATCAGCGATCAGAGATGGCAGAAGCGGATACAGAGAACTTTTGACCTTTAGGCCAGCCACCCGTGCTGTTGTCCAAAATCTTCGTAGTCTTGCAAAGTGCAAGACCAAGGCCAAGGCCGCCTAACTGTTGCAAGACCAATACCAGGACTGGTAAAAAAAAATCGATTTTAAAAATAAAAATTAAGGCAATATAGTTACAAATACTTGACAATCTTAGTTACTATATGTTAATAATTGGTGTAACCAATATACTTTTGCATTTAACTCCTCTCAATTTTTCATTTGGGCATAGTTAGGTTTCTCCTATCTAAAAAATTACAGTAATATCTCTATAGTAATAAGCTAATAAGTAGTTGCATAAGACCAAGACCATGACCAACACTAAATTTGCAAGACCAAGACTCGTCTCGGTCTCGCATTTGGACAACACTAGCCACCCGTTTCCGGAAATCCGTCAAAAATTCAAGTGTGGAGGGGGGTTGAGATAAATAATAATAAATAGTATCGGAGAGCTGGGCAGGATACTGTTTCCATTCCAGCTTCTGAATAGTTCTAGTCATTGACATCAAGCTCGTGAGTATAATTTTAACACATCGATTTAAAAAAAAAAGGTCATTCTTATAATCGATATTGTAGCTTAGCACTTAATGCCCTAAATGTATTTCAAAGGCAACTATCAATGGTGTCTGACTAATACACTCCCAATCACCAGCGGATCCAGGATTTAATTTTGGGGGCGGCTTCAGCCCGAGAGATTTTTTTTTTCATTTATATAACTATAATTAATTTGAAAAAAAAAGAAGAAAGAAATGAACTACCTATATGAAATGATGTTTAAGTGATTCTTGAAGTCCTATTAAATGTAATTACACTAACAATAATACTTTAAAAGATAGTATTTAATATTTCTGTCTATAAAACATGGTTATATTTTACCGTTTTTGGGGGGGGGGGCTTCAGCCCGAAAGCCCCCCCCCCCCTGTAAATCCGCCTGTGCTCCCAATGCAGAAAACAGTTGTGATTCTCTTGCTAGCCTTATAAGATCGATTTTCACTGCAGACTTACCAGAACATGGCAATAATTCACTGGCAACATTTGCCGACGATACTGCACTACTTACGACTCACACTATTTTCATACATCATGGTAATATTTTTAATTAGGTTACCAAATGGAAAATAAATAAACGTTGCAAATTATTGCACAATGTTTTATTATTTCCAAACAATTATATATAAAAAATAACATTACTTTCCTTGTAACATAAGAAAAAAAAATTACACAGAAGGTGGTTCCTAATATTGCTCTAAATAATTTTATATTTTATCGTTAATAATTTTCTAAGAAAAAGAAAACACATTGCTTCAGTTGATGTAAAACCTTCAGGTATATACACACAGATATCAAAAACCAAAACTGTGTACTTTTTCTTCAGCTCCTTTTCTTTGGAGTATTTTATATAGATTAACTTTAAGGGTTTCGAAAGAGAGGACTTTATCTAAACTTCATTGAAATTGGTATATCCGTTCAGGCACTACAGTTTATACGACACATGTCTTTCGGCCGTCATCTTTAAAGGGAAGCACTTGTCGGTGAAATATATTCTATAAATATATTTAAAGAGCTTCAAGCTCTTTAATATCATTAAGAAATAATAAAATAAAAGTATATACATATGTAGTATTTTCATATATATATATATACATATATATATATGTATATATATATATATATATATATATATATATATATATATATATATATATATTATATATATATATATATATATATATATATATATATATATATATATATATATATATATATATATATATATATAGTTCCTGCTGTCCGACTAACGGCGTATAATTTGTGAAATAGGGGTTGTTTCACAAATTATACAACTGTCCATTTAATTGAACTTTGCTCAAATTGTGTATCTGCAATTTACATGTATTCTGAATTTCAGATTATTATTTTTTTCAATATAGTGTAAGCAGAAAAAATAAATAAATTTCAAGTCTTCATCAATTAAACTCAATGTTTTACGACCTATTTTTATTATTCCATCCTATATGTAAAATAAACTACTATGGTCAATAAAAACATTTTATATTATATATATATATATATATATATATATATATATATGTGTGTGTGTGTGTGTTTATATACCCACATATATAACTTTGGTGAATGGAAAGCACTTATTTCGCAAGTGCACCTGCCCTTAAAACATTCCTGTCCAGTGCATCTTATCACATTTTATCATAAGTTGTGCAAATATTAATCATTGTTTGATGTGAACTTCCTTATTTACACTAGTAGGATTTAATTTTGGGGGGGGCCTCAGCCCGGAAGCTTTTTTTTTTTATATATATACCGACAATTTCTTTGGAAAAACATAAAGATTCTAACTACCTATATGAATTGGTGTTTAAGTGATACTTGAAGTCCTATTAAATGTAATTAAACGAGCAATAATACTTTAAGACATAATTTTTCAATATTTTTTACTATAAAACATGGTTATATTTTACCATTTTGGGGGAGAGGGGCTTCAGCCCGAAAGCCCCCCTCCGTAAATCCGCCTGTGCTTATTTATACTATGTTTCGAAAGAATATATATATTTTTTAAATAAGCCATCGTAGTTCTTTATATTCAGATCCTAGTTTTAAAAATTATTTGATTACAATAATAAATGAATACATTAAATTTAATTTAAAAATTTAATGTTCGAGAAATTGACAAAAAAGGTGGTCTACAATAATAGCGGTTTGGTTGGCGTGAACTGTATCGTCAAAATAACGAGGTTATTTAGGCCAATATGATCTTGCGATCATATTATCTTACGATTCAAATGGAAAGCAAATGGGTATTCATGAGTTTATTGTACCTAATTAAATAGACAAACTTTTACGATATCCAGATTGAATAAGCCCCAATTCGGTGAATTCTCATAAATAAAATATTTGTAAGTTACGATTAGATGAAGCCATTTACGAAGTTTCATGCGGATGTTTATAATTTGAGAAAAAAGTGGTCTGTACCACGGACTGCTATTTATGAAAATACCTACTCTAGGATTGGTAAGTGAAAGTTATGTGATGCGAGCACCGCACCAGATTTTTTGTTTTGTTGCTACGGAAATATGTAATATACACTGTTTTAAATTTTAATAGAATGATTTGATATATTTAATTATTTATATTATTAATTATATAATCATTTATTTATGGTTTTAGGTGTATTGTAAATAATGTGGTTAACAATCATACTTACACTTCTGGCAGGATGGCTTCTGTATAAATATTATGTTTCTGTTTATGAACTTTGGGAAAAGAGAGGAATTCCTAATTATCCCTCTAAATTCCCATTTGGTTACTCTTATGAACTCCTGGCTCAATCGAATTTTGTTGGCTATATTCATGATAAGGTATGATGTTTATAATTTTATTTCTGCTAAAGTAAGTTAGATGTTAAAATATTAATTTTTAAAATTCCACATGCCATTATATGAATTTTATTTTAGATGTACAAAAAGTTGGCGCCTAATCCAATGTTCGGATTCTTTGTCATGAGAGTGCCAATGTTGCAGATCAGAGAACCAGAGCTCATTCGATTTGTACTTACAAAGGAATTTTCACATTTTCGAGACAGGATGTTTATAAAATTGTAAGTCGTTGTAATAAACATATAAACTTATTATTTAATAATTTAAAATCATGAAAACATCGATATGACTGTTAATAATAAATATATGATATTTGTACAATCAAAACTGGGTACTTGTGACTTAGCTGGCCGCCATGAAACCTCCCTTATTATCTCCTGTAACCTCTTGTTATATTTCTGTGTTGGGTTATTCATTCCTTTTCAGTTTTTTTTGTTTGTTTTGTTTTTTATTTTCTGTTCAAAATGGATATAATAATATTTTGGGAATTACCGTATTTTGAAGAAGAAGCTTAATACGTTTCAGAAGTTCGGGATTATTTCAAAGGTGAAATTAAATGTTTTATGGTGAAAATAAAGAGAAAAAAGCAAAAACTCTATTAGAATTTATTAAAAATAATATAGAAGAGAGGAGTATACATTCTGATTGTTGGAGAGGATACAACGCTCAACAACTAAATGAAGAATACTATAACCATTTCCAGGTAAATTAACAAATAAGTCACAAGTAACCAAAACTCTTCTTAACAGCTGTTTTTTTCTAATCAGTTGCAATTGATAAATGAAGTGGTTATCATTAGAGAACAGATTTTGGTGCAACAAAAACCATAAATGTGCAAAAAGGTGTGAAGGATAACAACTTTTTAACATGATTTATAAAAATACTAAAAATCTAATAATATTTAATTTATATTAACTACATAAAATAAGAAAAAATGAAAAACTATTTTAACACTGCTTGAAAAAGAAAAATTAATTATTTTTATTTTAGTTTAGTGTTTGTACAATTTCTAATGTCCTCTTGTCAATTACTTAGATCTTTATAAAGAGAAAATTTTAAAACATTTGGTACAGCATCCAAATTAGATTTGCTTTTTATTTAAAATTAAATCCATTGCTTTATTTAGACAAAATTTTACAACTACAATTTTTTTATTTTTAACTTTTTTCTAATTTCGGCAATGAAAATTTCCAGATATACAAACAATTGGTTTATTTGTTGATATATATGTTAAGTTGACGTTTCGGGAAAATTATTCCCATCTTCAAAACTTAAAATCCCATACTTTCGTAGCGATTTATGGCTAAAGTCTGATGTAGCTCCTTTTACATGATTTGTTATAAATATAATAAAAATATGTTATCTGGAGCATCAACATTCCTAGCACTAATAATTGGGTGTCCGGTGTTTTATTATTCCTAGGAATATTGATGCTCCAGATAACATATTTTTATTATATTTATAACAATTCATGACAAAGGAAATACATCAGACTTAAGCCATAAATCGCTATGAAAGTATGGGATTTTAAGTTTTGAAGATGGGAATAATTTTCCCGAAACGTCAACTTAACATGTGTATCAACAAATAAACAAATAACAACAAATTTGTATGTCTGGAAGTTTTCATAGCCGAAATTAAAGAATATTATACAGTTTCCGATCAAAAAAAGAAGAAAAAGATTAAGTATTTTCTTTTGTTCTCTCTACTTCTTCTCTCTACTAATTCTATAAATTTACTAAAATTTCTTGAATATACAACGTAGCAGTAAATATTCAGATCCTCCACCAGGTTATTACTACTGTAGAAGGAAATAAGGGGCAATTTATATCTCCTTGTTCAAAACCTTGATGGATTTATTAAAACTGTGGCTTTATATTTACAATTTTAAAAATAATTAAAAAGTAATTTTGTGCAAAATAAGTCCTTAAAATGTGCACATTCGTGCAAAATAAAACTAGTGTCAAAAGAATGTATTCTTCATGAATCAAATTTCTGTTGTTGTTTGGCTGAATTGGAAGCTAGCTGAAATAGATTTAATGCACAAAAATCTGGTCTCTGGTTACCATATAAGACAATGTTACATTTTTTTTTTATATTTAGGAGTGAAAAAGATATTCTCAATCAACATCTGTTCAGCCTGGATGGTGAAAGATGGAGAGCTTTACGTGTGAAACTCACCCCAACATTTACTAGTGGAAAAATGAAAGCAATGTTTCCACTGTTTATCAGCTGTGCTGAGGTATTTTTTATATTAAATTATTGTTACCAAATAAAAGATTCAGAGTAATAGTCTATTTTATACACATTTTTTGTTAATTACAATTTAAGGAAGGAAATATCATTAATTATTTCAAATAGAGGGGAAAATACGCTCAGATTGTAATGATTTTACTAAATACTGAAAAATATTAATATTTATTTTAAAGTAACAATAATAATTCATTGAATTTAAATAATTAAAATTTTGTATTGCGTGTATAATTTTGTAATTTTTTAAAATGTATTTAGTCTTTATTTGTTTAGAGGAAAGAACCTCATACAAATAAATTCTATCTCTATATTATAACTATTATTACCCTTATTGTATTACATTTTTTTTTCCTATTAAATATCCAACATTATAAATATTTAAAAAATCAAAAGTATAACTTAAAAATCACATTTATTAAAAAGTCAGACAGTTTACAAAATACCAATTATCAACATTAGTATAAAATCTAAAATTATCAGTAGAACACATAAACAACAATAAATAATTATCTTTAATATTATACAATCATATAAAATTAATACAGATCATTGAAGAAACAAAGAAACAATCAAATAAATCTGTTTAATGTTTATCGTATTTCATGCCGACATCCAATCTACAATTTTACTACAATACTCAGAGGACAGTATGTTAGATTATCTCACCAATTCTCTATAATTAGATATATTTGAGATGAAAAAATATAATTTTTTCATATCTTCTATAGTGGTTGGCTTAAATATTTCAATCCCATTAAGATTTCCCATACCCTGGTAAGTTCTTACTCTCAAATTATTATATATTGGGCATTTAAATAATAAATGATAAAGTTTCTCTTTTTCCATTGTATTGTACATTTTGCACTCAAGTTGTGGATTGATTTTTAAAATTAGATTGTTGACTGAAATTGTAATTAAGTATTTTCCCGAGAGGTGGCATTAATACTCTGCTATATTTGAAAATAGCTGGCATCAACAGATATTCAGAGATCCTACTATTATAAAAAAATGGTTCAAAAGTTCACCGTAAGCTATCTATGCAACACTTACTTGTCACCCTCCTGCAAATTTCATTTATATTTGTTTAATATCCTGTTAATATTAGCTCTAATTATTACTGAATCGGTTTCATAAACTTAATCGCCTTCCTTTATTGTATCTAACAATATTTTCAACCCAGCACACCAATCATATTTCGAACAGGATTAGATTGGTAACATTTATAATTTTGTATAGTATTGTAATTAATTTTAATCTTGACACTCTCGCTCTGGTAAGCATGCGGTGAAAATCTTAAGGTAGCCATCAGGATGTGGCTAAAAGCAACACAAGGCTCACTTAACCCAATAATTCTCCCCATCAGTACCAATACCATTACTAGGAACTTAGCTAATTTAAGTTATTAAGGAATTTACGTTATAACTTTTAAGAAAATTGCTTTATCTTGTATTCTCTCAAGTTAATTATTTATATTTATATTTGTATATTTATAAATTGTAAACTTTTACAATCTATCTTATAATATATATTTTTTTAATGTTTTCTTACAGGCATTTGAGTCTTTGATTGTGTCAAAAATTGGTTGTGAGGTAGACATCAAAGACTTAGTTGGGCGACTTACAACAGATATTATTTGCATCTGTGCTTTTGGACTTGATACTAATACAATCAAAGAGTCAGATCATAAGTTGAGAAAAATCCCCGCCCAACTTGCTAAAATGAGGTTTATAGATAAGGTCTTAATAGCAATCATGCAAGCTATGCCAAAAGTTTCCTGTAAATTCAAAGCGAGGTATTATAATTTAGTAGTTAATTATATGAAAGTAGTTAATTAGCGAAATTGTATGTATGAAGTTAATCTAGACATTCAAAATTTTGGGTAATATAAAAATAAAAATAGAAAAGGTATCATGTATTGCTAAACTGTATTTATATCTGGTTCATTTAATAGCTCAATTTTTATTACCAATTATTCGAATTAATAGAAAATTATCTTAAGTGGTTTGTTATGTTTAAGGTTCACTCCTAAAGAGCTTGAGGACTATATAGTAAATCTTGTAGAAAACACATTGGAGTATAGAGAAAAAAATAACATCAAAAGAAATGATTTTCTTGATTTATTAATTGAGCTGAAGAATAAAGGGACAATAGGAGATGACATGAAAAATGAGATAGAAGAACAAAAGTGCCAGCCATTTGGTAAAATATTAATATTAATCTAGTTTGTGATTATATTTATATTATAATATATTAGTGATAAGTATCACTAGAGGTGATATAAGGTCTTTTGACAATATTTAATGTTAACGTCTTGCAGAAATCTCTCCTTTGACCAGCTCTGATGAAGGCCTAACTTTGGGCCGAAACATTGGCAAAAATAAATATACTTATTTATTTTTACTTTTTTTTTTACTGATCATCCCAACCATTCTTCTCTTCAATTATTCATTATCAATCCACATTTAATGTTAATTTGTATGAACAATATTGCTATTCTTAGCAAGATTTAATTTTGGGAGGCTTCAGGCCAAAAGATATTTTTTTTGATATATTACTTTAGAAAAAAAAAAAAAAAAAAAAAAGAAAGATACTAAAATGAAATGGCTTTTAAGTGATTCTTGAAGTCCTATCCCCACATATTATAGTAAGGCTCAAAATTGGTTTTGTACCAAATATAAGTTCCTGTCATGCTCAAATACCATGAATAGAGCACTGTTGGATTCAGAATTTCATGGGGGTTAGCGAATTGTATTCTCAACTTTTGTTTTTCTTTCTAAAATAAATAAAGTCGATATTTTGCTAGGCTTCAATACTGGAAGGAACGGTGGTAAAGTCTGTAGATCGATACTGGACAAATTGGGCTTTAAAGATTTTGATGCGTACAGCAAGACCCAGATAGTTCCTTCGGAACTATTTGGCCCTACGTTTTTAAGCCCAAAAACGTACTATTTTCGAGATAACGCAAGACATAGGGTTCGTATCCACACAATTGTAGTTCTGCCATTGAAAACATGTCTCACTTCGTCGACTTGAGGTTTCTGTAATCGAGAGAGGAGGAGTTTATATTATTTATCGATGGTGTTTTTGATCGGCAAGCCATGTTATCGTTAATTTTTCACCAAATCTCAACATTGAGCCACCAATTTTGAAGGCTTCCTTCTCCTTCAGGCGAGCAAAATAGTCCAATCATCCCGAAAATTCAGGCAAACAAGTTATGAAAGAAAACAAACTTTATTTGTGAATAACTAAAAAATTATACACTTTTCCCTTATGCCCACGATTATATAAAAGGTTACTAAATTCCCAACAAAAGGGGGGGAAATCATTGAAATCGGACAATTTTTAGCAAAGATACAGCTTATTGAAATTTGTAAACATGTTGGTTCCAAACATTAATGAAGTTTTAAATTAGTTTTTGTTTCCTTTGTCGATTATATTTAGCGATAAAGTAACAAATGATTTCTTTATCTTATGTTACGTTGCATTATTTTATGTTCTTATTAATTTGGCATTTGATCACTTAACAATATGCTGTGTGAATTTTTCGCATGGGCCTACTAGTTAAATGTAATTAAACGAACAATAATACTTTAAGAGATAATTTTTTTATATTCTTTTCCATAAAACATGGTTATATTTTACCATTTTTTGGGGGAGGGAGGGCTTCAGTCGAATTGCTCCTCCAACACTACAGATTTGCAATCATACATGAGGGCTAGGAATATGTGCATTTCACAGTATTTTATCGATGATATGGCTTTATTGATTCATTTCTAATAGAGAACTCTTTTAATATTCTGAAAGGAAAACAATATGTTATTGGAAATGAAAATAATATTGTTGAAAAATAAAAATTTATGAGTACTTTTAAACAAGCATTAAAATTTATCATTTTAGAATTCACTAATGGTTTGATGGCTGCACAGTGCTTTGCTTTCTTATTTGGTGGCTTTGAAACTTCTAGCTCTGTACAGAGTTTTTGCCTATATGAATTAGCAATCAATCAAGATATTCAGATGAGAGTAAAGAAGGAAATTGATGAAATAATTGAGCAACATGGAGGACTAACATACCAAGCTGTGAAAGAAATGGAGTACTTAGATATGGTCATTTCAGGTAAATTTAAAACATATAACTTTTAAATGAACCTTGAATGAATTTCAATGAAGACCACTAACCTCGTTTTAAAAGAATTGTTCATAGAAATTCGGGTCCGTTGATTGAGGTCCGGAAGGATTGAATTAAAATATTTACTCTCATATTTAAAGTTATAAAGATATTGAAAACTGTAGTTTTTTACATCTTTATTCTTATTTACTTTTTCAACAATAATTACTGTTTTCAATTTTATTAAATCTGTTTTACAATTTTTGTTAATGCAATTGTCTAAACGCACAGAATTTTGTACGAATGGATATATTTGTAAACAATTGAATTTATAACATATTTTATTGAGGTTTGAGGCAGTGAGATGGACACTCAATCCTCCGATGCTTCAAATTTGACGCAGGATATACGATAAAATCTTGATGTAAAAATTGAAGGGTGCATATAAATGAGTCATAAAATCCGATGATATGTTGCTACATTAAATTATCTTTGAATTATAAACTAAAATTTCAATAATAGGGACATACAATGTGGTAAAATACTTCTAGGCCGTAGGTTAACCATCTAGCCGACTTTTCCTATTTTCTCAATTGATGTTAGTTTACATGTTTTATTCAGTAATGTAGATTAATTGTTATTTATTTTGATTTGATTTTTGTTCTTTGAAAAGTTAGGGAGGGGTGAAACGTTATTCTTGTTCCCGCTCTATTATTATTGGGGGAGGGGACCCCTTTTGCCTCTTCAAGGTCTTTGTCTAATCAATCGTCACTGGTTTCTAAATCAAGATAAGATTTTTTATAATTAAATTTATATAAAATCAACAATTTAAAAATAAATATTTTTTTTTCAGAAACAATGAGAAAGTATCCTACCTTCCCAGTATTAATGAGGTATTGCACAAAATCTATTACTACTCCATACGGTTATAAAATAGAGGCATGTGAAACTATTATAATTCCTGTTTGGTCTTTACACCATGATCCAGAATATTACCCAAATCCTGAGAAATTCGACCCAGAAAGATTTTCAGCACAAAATAAAGAGTCAATCAAGCCATTCACTTATCTGCCTTTTGGAGAAGGGCCAAGGATGTGTATAGGTTAGTTTAGTAAATTTATCATAAAAAATAAGCAACTAGAACAAAAAAGTTTAATAACATTATTTTTGCAGGTATGAGATTTGGAAAACTTCAAACTAAAGTTGGCCTTATCGCTCTACTGAGAAAGTGTCATGTAGAACCTTGTGTAGCAACTAAGATACCTTTAGAAATAGGTCCTTCACCGATGCTAACGATTCCAAAGCATCCAATAGAACTGAAATTAGTACCTCAGTTTTCAGCTTAAACTGTGCGTCACTGCTAATGTAGGAATACATTTATTTCATTGAGATTAACATAAATTTTATATGTATTTATTATAGATACAATTAAGGTGTTTGGTTTCAAAATCAGTTAGATACATCCATTTTTTCCAAAAAAAAAAATTATTTTTCTTAAATTTTCAACGCCAGAAATGGGGAAGACTGGAAAGCAATTGATACCCTGGAATTTTACAAAAAGATCATAGAGCATTACATGTCATCAGTCCAAGGTGTGAAATAATATGGATGTTTGCCAAGTTCAAGATATCAGTGATAATTTTTTATGTATAAAAAATTGAAATTATGTTTACATATATTGTTAAAATTAATAAAAGTGATTTAAAAAAAAAAAGTCTTTTTTTTCAACCATAAATCGATATTTTCTGATCAAATTCAGGTAGGTGCACCCAAAATAGTTTATCTATTCAAATTCCATTTAATCATTTTTGTTTAAAACGGTTTGTTACCAAAATACGGAAAAATAATAAAGAAAATTTGTTAAATTGAAATATTTTTTAATCATTTTTTTAATCAAAAAATGGATTTAACCAGTTTTGAAACCAAATGCCTCAAGTAATTTATAAACAGGAAAGCATACAATCAAAACTTTGTAAGCATTTTAATTTTTCTATTATCAATACCAACCATCCACCATTTGATAAATAGTGAGGTATTACATTTTTTTACTGTTTTTATAGAGAATAATTTGTAAAAAAAAGAAAACATACATTCCGTGTGTGTTTTTATTACATGGTAAATAAATATGAATACGTTATATGAATAAATTTAAGTAACAGTTTACTCTAAAAAAAAAATTTGTCTTTATTTTTATGACGTTTCGGGATCACTTTATTATCCCATCTTCTCATTTTTTTATCATCTATTTTTTTTTTAAAAAGAATTGTTATAATTTTTATATTATTATTATTATTATCCCTCTTAGTGATACCCCTATTAAGTGATATTGTGGACTCCTCTAGGGAGAGCCTAGTCAGACACTTTCAGTGAAATAAGATGAGATAAGGTCTCAAGGTGGAATAATAAAGTGATCTCGAAACATCATAAAAATAAAGAAAGATATTTTTGGGAGAGTCATCTGTTACTTAACTTTATTCATATATCGTATATAAATAAACATCTCCCTTAGGACTTATGAACACAATATGAATAATTTATAAGCAGGAATATAATCAAAACTTTATATGAGGTATATTAATTTTTTTTTTTTTTTCGATTTCACCATTCAGTTACGTAATGAGATATATTTTTACTTTCACTTACCTATATTTTTTACTGCTTTTATAAATAAGGAGCTATAAAAATAACTATACTACTGCTAATGGATCAGTCATATATTTTTGAATTGATTTGTTCTAAAATGTTTTTATCAAAGTGAAGCTACATTGTGTGTTTGGGTTGTCTCCTAAAAGCTATATGATGCTATTTTGATGAAAAAGCTGGATCAATTTTTAAGTTTGATGGCTCAAATTATTCGGTAATATCTCCTCAGTGTTTTGACACAAATTGAGCTAAAAATACTTACTGGTGATTAAATAAAATGTGTTTAATCAATTAACAAAAAGCTATGTAATGGCTTTCTTAAATTTGCAAGCTCAAATTATTTGGTAAGATCTATTGAGTTTTGACACAATTTGGGCTAAAAACACTAACCCGTGATTGAGTAAAATGTGTTTAATCAATTTTCTTGAAGCTATATAACGAATTTTTGAGTGAACGAATGGATCAGTTTTTAAATTTGATATCTTAAACTGTACTGTAGGTGTACCGAAAAAATTAGTTAGAGTAACAAGGATGACACTGACTGATAGTTGCTGTAAAGTCACTATACAAGGAGTATTATCAGAAAATTTTGCAGTTGAAGACGGCCTAAGGCAGGGAGACCCCCTTGTCCCCAACTCTTTTCAATCTAGCCTTAGAATATGCGGCATGTGCTATTGGGATAAGACCTCATGGCACGATATATATAACAGACTGTCAGAGCATCTAGCCTAGGCAAGCGACGTGGTAATATCGGCTAGATCAAGAGCATCTTTATTGGGGGCGTTTGAGGAGTTTGAAAACGCTGCGAAAAAGTAAGGCCTCCATGTAAACGACTAAAAGACAGTTTATATGAAGTCACCAAGAAACCCACCAGAAAGAATGGAAGAAATGATCAAAATTGGAAGCCACACCTTCAGGATTGCAAACCAGCTGAAGTATTTGGGTGCTCTCGTCACATCAAAGAATGAACACCAAGAAGAAATTAAGGTAAGAGTAGCTGCTCAAAACAGGTGCTATTATGCTCTTCAAAACCCTTAAAATTCAGAGGCCTGACCAACAGAGCTGAAATCATATTATATAAAACAGTCATTAGGCACGTTGTGTCTTATGGCTGTGAGACTTGAAAGAAAGTGTAAGAATTTTAAAAGTTTGGGAAAGGAAAGTACTCAGAAGAATATATGCACCTGTCTGCGAGAATAGCAACTGGAGAATAAGAAAGAATGAGGAGCTAAAAGAAATGGTCCAATAACCAGATCTGGTTTCTTTTGTTAGAAAGAATCAGTTGAGGTGGGTGGGACATGTAGATCGGATGCTGGCAAATAGGATGCACCAAAAATTACTGGCTGGTAAGCCTGGAGGAGAAAGAGTTAGAGGATGTCCACGATTAAAATGGTCAGACGTTGTAGAAAGAGTATTGAGAGAGATGGGAATCGGAGGATGGAGGAGACTCGCCCAGGATAGGGAAGAGTGGAGTAGGATTGTAGAGGAGGCGCAGGCCCCTGTTGGGCTGTAGCACCATGGAGTAAAGTAAAGTATCTTAAACTATTCGGTGACATCTCATGAGTGTTTTGAAACCATAGGCGCTTAGACTCTCAAAATAAAACAAGGTCTCGTGGGTTTATATTACATTTGAAACTGTAAAACAAATATAATATTATATACAAATTTATATAATTTATATATATATGGTCGGCACCATGTTAAAGTAATGAATCCAACGGTAAACATTCGTTACTTTGACACAGTGATATGTTGATGTATTAGTTTTTTTTTTTTTTTTCGTATGGGTGGGTACATTTGGAGATATATTTTAAAAATACAAATTGAATTTATTATATATTTTTATTTTAGATTTGAGATGAAATCTATATAGAAGGATGCACATGAATGAATCATAAAATTCTAAGATATGTTTCTACATATAATTATTTATAAATATAAACTAAAATTTCATTAATAGGAACTTAGGGTATTTTAAAATACCTGTGTACCTACTTTTAGGCCTAAACTTAGCCATTTATTCGACTTTTTCTATTTTATGGCTGGATCAATTTTGATCAATCAAGTTTGATGGCGCAAATTATTCAGTGAAATTCCCTGAGTGTTTTGAAACAATTTGAGCTGAGAACACTGACCCGTGATTGAATAAAATGTGTTTAATCAATTGACTAAAAGTTATGTAATATTCTTGATTGATAATTTGAATAACAGGAATTTTTAAAGTTATTTCTTTGTAACTTGATTAATTGTACCTGTTACTGTATAATGTTCCTTGTTGCCTCTCTACTTCCTACATATTAGATAATGAACAGTTTAAAACTGGACCGATAGAGTGCAGCACCAGTCAGATTCTAGTTCAAAGTGTATACTTTATGAAATTATTATTATCTCTCTAAAACTTCGTGAATGGCTTCATGTTATCATAACTTCGTACTTTTTTATTTTTGAAAATTCTCGGAATTAGGGCGTTTTCAAATTTTATTTAATTAGGTACTAAAAACTCATGAACTCCCATTTGCTTTCCACTTGAATCATAAGATAATCTGATCAAAAAACCGAGAAAAAAGGTGGCCTACAAAAATATCTGGCAGTTTGGCATGACCTCCCAAATATGTAAAAATAAAAATAGAGGTTATATATGGTAAGTAAATGGATATTTACGAGTATTATTACCTCATTAAATTAATTAATTAAAAAAAAACGCCCCACTTCTGTGAATTTCCGTAGATAAAAAAATTTTAGTTTATGATGATTTGAAATAAACCGCGAAGTTTTAGGCAGATGTTAATAATTTCATAGAAAGGGGTCTGTACCACGGACTATTAGGTTGTAAACGTTTTTTATGCTGAAAATCAATTTTAATTTTCCTCAATTAGAACTCTTTTGTATGAAACCTTTTAATTATTAGAAAACAGCTTCTTCAATTAAAATTGAACTTATCTACGTGAGGAGGTGAAAATTATTGTTTCTTTTTTTTTTGGAAACAATATCTACTCCGAAAGTTAAATATTGATTTTTGATAAAATATACCTGTATAACGATTAATGCGAGAAAATGTTTTCGAAAAAATTGGTAAACTAAAACTCCGACTGGTATTTAATTATCCCAAGGCACGAGCGGATCCAGGATTTAATTTTGGGGAGGGGGCTTCAGCCCGACAGATTTTTTAAAATATATATAACGATAATTAATTTAAAAAAAATGAATTACCTATGGTGGTTAAGTGATTCTTGAAGCCCTATTAAGTGTAATTACGCGAACAATAATACTTTGAGAGATAGTTTTTAATTTTTTTTTTTCTATAAACCATGGTTATATTTTACCGTTTTTTGGGGAGGGGAGGAGCTTCAACCCGAAAGCCCCCCCCCCCCCGTAAATCCGCCTGTGTCCTAAGGAACTATCGGAGTGGCTGTCGTTCTATAGCCCCGAATATTGGAAATTTTTTTTTTCTATCGACCCATTTTTGTTTATCAGAGTGATCTAAGCTGAATACTTAAAAAATCACAACACAGTCTCTTTTTAAATTATAACACATATACAGCAACAAAATTTGAGCATGTATCAAGAAAAAATATAAGAAATATTCTTTTTTATGTTTCTTAAATATAAGAAAACTTTTTTAGGCGAGTTTTGCACTTTTTTTGTGGCGAGTGAACTGGATTGAGGCGTCAGATCTCTGATGTGTAACGCTCGGGTAAAGTCGGCTGGAGTCGCTAATGTTTTTTTTCATATGGAGTAAAATATCTCAAAAAATAAAAATCGGACATGTAAATTGTTAGTGAGAGAAATGTTCATTCATCATTTTATCCTCTTTGTAATGAGCTATTTTTCAAAATTTTATTTTAACGCGACGCTGTATTAGGGAGGCGAAAAATAAAAAATGATAATAAGTCTCGTTGAACATATCACAGGCGGATTTACGGGGGGACTTTCGGGCTGAAGCACTCCCCAAAATGGTAAAATATAATCATATTTTGCAGAAAAAAAATATTAAAAACTACCTCTTAAAGTATTCTTGTTCCTGTAATTACATTTAATATGACTTAAGAACCACTTATACACCATTTCCTATAAGTAGTTAATTTATTTCTTTTTTTTCAAATTAATTATCGTTAGATGTACATGAAAAAAAAATCTTTCGGGCTGAAGCCCCCCCCCCCCAATTAATTCCTGGATCCGCTAGTGGAACATATGAATTAAAATATTTCAGATACTAAAAATCGGACCTGTATACTGTAAGCGATAGAATTGTTCATCATTTCGTCTTCTCTGTAATGGACTATTATTTATAATTTATATTTCATGTTATTAATTTCGTCTTGTTGATGTGTCCACTTTTATCTTGTGGTCTAAATTACGTACCTTTTTTCTGGAGTAATTGTCTTTAATTAAAAAAAAAAAGTACCCCAAAATTAAATATTGGATGTGCTATTAGCTATGGATTATGGTTAATACAAGATAAAACAAAAATATCCTAAATTTATTTAGTTAATACTAGATGAAACCAGAGACCCCACTGCGCCTGCGCCGAACGCCCACCGTATACCTAATGCAGACTGGCCTGAGTCTTCCATTTCTATCTGAGCCTTCGCCTCTAGATCTAGCTAGCACAGTTCAGTCTGTCGGATTCTTCAGTATACACGCTGTGTTGAGGAGTCTGTCTGTATGCAAACAACAAACACAAAACAGCCACGATCCCGCTACTTGCGGTTTCTAAGATGAGAACGTTCCATTTTTTTTTTTCAGATGTCACATTCTAATGAACACTTTCACTAAACGAATACATATTGCACAAATACACTTTTGATCCATAGCAGATAGAAGAAGACATGGGTGGAAAAGATGGCCTTGCTACGCGACAGCCACTGCCCCCTGTATCTATAAAAGGTGCTGTTGAAACCTAAGCTGACTA